GTAGTGTTAATAAAAGTGAAAATTTTCTGTGCTAAAGTTTCAGAATTTTTCCTTTTTAGTTTACACTCCCTATATATGGTTAATTTTCACCTAATTAAGAGAATAGAAGCATGACATAGAACAATGAACCAAAATAATTATGTGGAAGGAAAGATGATGAATTTATGTTACAAGTTTAAAATTCCAAAGAACATCAGCCCAAAGGTATATTTTACAGTGTAATTACCTGGACAAGTGAGGTAAATAAGCTGGTACTTCTTCTATCCTTACAAGGTCTCGGTTGAGTTGGTAAAAGAAGGAAACCAAGTTCTCCTTGCAAAATTTGTCAAGAAATTGAGATCTTCAAGATTATCCTTTATGAGAAGAAAATGAATTATGAAGCACATGAACTATTGAAATAAATCATCAAAATAGACAGTTTACCTGGTTCAGTGAGGCAGTGAATTGAAACTTATACCTTCAGAAAGTTTTGATCAAATTTGGGAAACAAGCACAGCGGAGAAAAGAATCAATGAATTCTGAAGCTAAAAAGAATTAAAAGTCGGCAAGTAAACGCTAAGTCGTCGCACAAGTTGTAAAGTTACTGTCCTCTAAGCAAATATGAGTTGAAGAAAAGCGGACAAATTAGGAGTGAATTACGGGGCCACCGTGTCCTATTCTCGTCCATTATTGTCTTCCTAGTCTTCTGTTTCACAGTGATGCAAATAAGAATTTGACTTTCAAATATTCTGCATTAATAGTCTTGGTACATTAATGAAAATTTGTAATTTAAGAGAATTAGCCCAACCAGAAAACCCTGCAATCCTTTTCTTGTTGTGATGTGAACGGTTTGAATTAGCACAGAAAGAAACAGGTTATAATCTCCTAACTTTACTCCATTTTAGAAGTGTTTGATGGAGCTTCAGCATGCACCATACTTGAATCAGCGGTTTCCACTGAGGCAACGAAATTGTTAGAGTTCCTTGATTGGTTTTGCACTCAATAGCCATATCGGATGACTAGACCGATTAAAACAATGTATAAATATACGGTCACTTTCTTTCACAAGGGCAACAAACTCTTACATAGTGTCATTGGGTTCGGAAGTGACTTCCTTAAAGCTGATTCAAATATATACAAAATAAAAGTTGAAAAAGTGCGAGTGAATACATGGTAATCTAAGCTACCATAGTTGTTTGGTGGAAATTAAAAAAGCATCGGAGAAGCATTCATGGTATGCTTGTACGATAACGTTATTTTGTCAAAAGAGAAGTTAGAAAACATGAAAATGTTAGAAAATTAGGAAGGCATAAGTGGATTGTGGGGCACTAATTCTGTTATAATATCTGATAAAATCACTTTTTCTACTTCTCCATTGTTGACCTCACTTCCTATCTTTCACACGTACCAGGCCAGAAACTATCTAATACTATAGAGTAGTACTTCCAAGGCAACTTCATATTTGTGGACGGCTTACTTGACTAGGACCGTACCCACTAGCCATTGTGCACAATGCTTAGTTTTGATTGGGTAATTGACAGAGTCCTACCCTTTTGATTTGGTTTCGTTTGATAGTTGATACAATCCTATTACCTTTGATATATGGTCAATGACTATCATGTATCTTACCCCTTTAGTACTATGGCACACTTGGATTTAGTTGTCCATGCTACATAGTGCTCTGTGATCTGTTTGAAATGACATTTACCTCTATGGGATTGGAACTGGATGTTTGTTTGAATTTTGGACTTTGGGATTGATATTGTTTCGACTTTGGACATTGGATTTGGTATTTGTTAGACTCCCATCTTTGGACTTGACATTTGTTTCAACCTTGGTTTTTGAGATGTTTATGGTTTCAATTTTGACATTTGCATCTGGTATTTGTCTAAATCTTGAATTGGATTAGGTACTTGATGTAATGCAAATTATGTTATTTTGAAATCTATTTGTTTTCTTCAAGGATTTGCTAAAGATAACAACATTAATTCATCTTTTTCAAAACTAAACCTTTGTTTTACTACATCTTTTACAAAGCTTAAAAATCCAATATCTCTTAAATTGTTTCCTTGAAAACACTTAAACATTTTACAAATTATTATTCTCATTTCAAAGGCTTATGGACAAGATTTCAACAAAACCTTAAGAAATCATTTTAAATGAGTTTGTACCATCGAGACAATGGTATGGAGGTTTGTTTTGGATACTTGCTCATAATTGACTTATAACTCGCACCTTGGGACGCTTAAATGTGTTCGGGAATTGAGTTCCCAGCTCTTTGAATATTTGTTATGGTTGGAAAATAAATATGACATTGATTGAAATGGATTACTTGCATTATTTTTAAATGTATTTTTGACAAACACTCTTTCGTTTAGCTTGTTCCCCCTCTCTGTATTTGCTCATAGAGTTTTTTATAACTCACACATGTAAGATACATTTATTTTGTAGATCCATAGTTGCTTGGCTCATTGCCCTTTGGGAAGAGCCTATGCTTTAGCTAGTCTTTGGTAGGTGATCATATGGCATCCAATATGTGTCAACCTTTTTGTTTTTAAGTTGTACTCCACTGGTCTTATTTGGGTTGGTTAGTTATGTCTTACTACTATGGACAAAATTTTGCTTATCCCTTGTATTATATGACTTGTATTTTGAGAGTTGCCATGAGATGGTTACACTTTGTACTTGCTACAAGATGACCAAACTTGTTAATTTGATGTATATTGCATCTGCATTTGAGCACATGAGCATGCAAACTTCATATGATATATACATATCCTTTATGATATAATATGTTTATACATGTTTGACATACCGTTCCATGGCGATCAGTCCCATGAGGTAATTTCAAGCATTTGTTTTGCTTTGTTCATTTTAGGCTTGCATGGGTTAAGAAGGTGACCCTTATAGATACCCTAGCATTGGTCATGGCCCTTGAATTTGGGTTGTGACACTGGCGTGTGTTGCAGGTAGCATCTTAGCCGCCATAAAGTGTAGCCACACCTTAATCTCTCTATCCATTGCACTAGCTCTGAATGAAATTGGCTTATTCTTTAAAAGTTTCCATTCTATACCACTCTTGCACAGTAGTGTGATCACCTCATTCAAATCAACTTGTTCGTCCAAGAACTGGTTATACTCATCATTTTCTATGTCAAACATTTGGTAGAATTTGTTGATCGTTTGACTGTCGAATGTCACCTAATGCCCTAGCACAAAATCTTTGCAATTTGCATGCTTGTAAGCATTGGCGTAAAATTCCTTGACCATAAGCATTACTATCGTGTTTGATTGTGCACAAAAAATTTGCCACTGCCTTGAATTTATAACATTCTATAACCAGTTGAAAAGTATTTGATTAATATAAAAACCACTCTGTGGTATTGGAGCTTTGTGAATGAGGAATTGGTTGTGTCTCTCTACAACCTTCGCAAACACAAATTTGGTTTTATCAAAATTCCATTTATATTGCCTTTTGCTCTTTTTGGAGCCATTACCACAATTCTGAATATTTAACTCAGCAAGCAAACAGAGCAACAATACTTTGTAGGAAACCACCAAACACAAAAATCATAAGAAGACAATGTTCGCAGTTACATTCCTTTAACTACACAACACTTTCAAACAATGTCAACAAGATTAACACACCAATATCCCAAAAATTATTATCCTTCTACCATCAAAATATCCAACTGCAATACACAACTAAGATATTCAAGATATTGTATTCAACCAAACTAAACCAAAAAAAGAACATGCCCAAAACCACAATTTCATCAATTAACGAATAAACTTCACCAAAATCAACAATTAACCAAATTATTTTAGAGTAAAGCATGAATTCCCCAAAAGATAATGAAAAATCTTCAATAAGAGACTGTACTTATAACAGAAATTTCAATCAATGCTACTCGCTTGAAGATTGAATATTGATAAAGGCTTTTTCTTGCCAGATCTCCAATTTGCTTCAAAGGTTATAAGCTAAAAATATGGACTTTATCTTTTTACTCAATTGCATGGTATGTATGGTTGTTTAGCAATGAGTTAGCTTTAAATGGAAGGAATGGAACTCATTTCAATTATTTGATGTAATCAAGATGCGTGTAGTTGTGTGGATGAAAGCTAAATGGCCAAAGTAAATTGAGAAAATAAAAGATATCTTCAAATCGCCTAATATTGTTAGCATGGTGCAAAAGAAAGTTGCTAAGCGTGGACTTATTTTATGGAAGGCTCTAGAGGAAGTTTTGGTGATGCAGGCATTACGAGAATTTTGAGAGATCATCAAAGGGTAACTTGAATAGTGTTCATTAAATCCGTTGGTAAGAATGATTCTAATTTTGCAAAGATTTTTGCAATTAAAGAGGTTATGCTTATTTTTACAAGTACTACTATGTTGAATCATGCAAGGTTACAGATTGAGAGTGACTCTCGAAATGCTGTGATGTGGTTGACTAGCCACAAGATGCCCCATGGAGATTTAGTAATTTATTAGTTTAAATTGAACAATTAAAGAATTTAACAATCTAGTGTGATGTCACACATGTTTTCAGGAGAGCTAATGAGGAAGATGATTTGTAAGGGAAAGCAAGAATTAATAAAAGTGAGAATTTGCTTCAATTGTTTAGCTAATATGCAATTTGTAGTTTACTAGAAATGAAAGTTTTGGAACGTGAAGATGAAAAGTATGGTTATTGTGTGGATTAAGGCAATTTTAAAATGCCTAAATTTTGAAATGTTTCAAAATCTGTTGAATGGTGTGGATATGGATTAGTTTTGCTTATAATAATTGTACATGGAAAGTCCTTTTTAAACTAGACTACTTGAGTTTGCATAGAACTGTAACGACCTCTCCCTCAATCGTAGCGACGTCCGAGACTTGCGAGTAAACCCACCAAATCTTGAATAAGCTTTAGTTAAACTTTCAGACAATTTAAACTCAACTCCTAATTTTAAAGCCATTGCTCATTTAAAATAAGTAAACACAATAGTTAAAACACGACATTTAGATACCAATAATCCGGTTTAATAACTACACAACATATTCAACTTAATAAGTGACAATCATTACACCACATCAAGTTTTTAACAAATACATTCCCATAACTAGTAATCATTATGAGTCTGACTACTCCACATAGTTCGACCTCTAAGTAGCGGAGCAACTCAGAGTGGAAGTCTAAGAGATGCCATTACCTACATTACAGCAAGTCTTGATGTACTGAGCAATGCACCTGAGCTAATCACTTATCTGTAAAAGGAAATAAGGGGGTGAGTCTCACAGACTTAGTGATCATCAACCCCGTGAGTAGGACGTAGATGGGAAACAAGCTAAAGGTAGAAGATTTGAATATTAAAAATATAAGAATATATAAAAATAAATTAACTCAAAAGGGAGGTTTGTGCCTTATATGTAAAACCAGTAAGTTAATGCGAAGTAGGCATTTAAATCAATATCAAACCATTTCATGTAAGATTTCTACCATCGAAATCATTTAAATATTGGCTTAAAGCAAGTAGTATCGTCGCGCGAGCTCTCGTGAAATCCATCATTAACAAAGTTTATAAGCAAATCCATAAATCACCTCGTTCACGAGAAATTAAAATCCAATGTCATCGTATAAATAAGGGAGCTGTGGGAAAATAGTTATTTCTCACAATGCAAAAAACTACATGCGTGAAACCTAAAGAGATATCACTCTCGAGTAGGAATAGAATAATAAAGCTCGTGGACTCATTTCCATGTAATAACATTCAGGAGCTCTACTCCACCGGATCCCCACAACTATGGCAGTCTCAACGATGTCGGCCGACATTGGAGAAATTAAGCGATCGCAACCGCATATATCACTAGTGGCCTAGCCACAAACAATCACAGACCATGGCCCTAGCCAT